TCGTGTTGTATTTTTTCAATGTTATATTTTAGTTCGAGGCGGCTTGGGCGCTCACGAATATTGCTTCTGGGACATCAGAAAACACCAGGGTTGTAATTGACCATGGGGCAATCCCCATTTTTGTCAAACTTCTAAGTTCTCCAGCTGAAGATGTCAGGGAACAGGTAGATGTTATTATTATTTTATGGAATTTATTTTTCTTTCAAGTAATGTCAAGGGGCCATCGTAATTATTTCTTGATTGGTTCGATAATGGCAAACTTACATTTTGCTGGGATTATAGGCTGTTTGGGCATTAGGAAATGTTGCTGGTGACTCACCAAAATGCCGTGATCTAGTCCTTGGTCATGGGGCTTTGATGCCTTTGCTTGCACAATTCAATGAACATGCAAAGCTGTCTATGTTAAGAAATGCAACTTGGACATTGTCGAACTTCTGCAGGGGCAAGCCCCAACCTTTGTTTGACCAGGTTTGACTTTCAAGATAGACTGTTTAAATGCAGTTCCAGTACTTTTTTCCCCAATTTGTTAATTGCTGCTAGTGCATGTGCTGTTGAAATTCAATGAGCAGACAAAACCTGCTCTCCCAGCTCTTGAGCGTCTTATACATTCAAATGACAACGAAGTCCTCACAGATGCATGCTGGGCACTGTCATATCTCTCAGATGGATCCAATGAGAAAATCCAAGCTGTTATTGAGGCTGGGGTCTGCCCCCGTCTCGTTGAACTTTTACGGTGATTTCTAAACTCTGTTTGCTCTTGCTTCTTTTTTCCTGGCATTTGCTTCTGAAAGTTGAAATGCTCTGTACATTTTCTGTTTCCAGTCATCCATCTCCAACAGTGCTCATCCCTGCGCTACGTGCAGTTGGAAATATTGTTACTGGAGATGACATGCAGACTCAGGTATTGTTTATACTTTATTTTTCTAATTAACCCCCGCAGAGACCCCCCCCCAGTTTGTTTATCTTACTGCTTAATTTCTCTTACCCTGGTTTTAGTCATGAGTTCATAATTGGCATGGTTTTGTTTATTTTAAAACCAATCACATACTCCTCCAACAGTTTTATACTGATCTTGGAAGATGGAAATACTTATATGTGCCCCCACTGCTCATTTTAGATGCACAGGTTGAAAATATAGATGGACATGCTTTTTTCTCTTTAATGCTCTAATATTCTAGATTAGTTGGCGTTTTCTATACAATTTCACAACTTATCATTACAACCTGGCATGCTGTTTTGCATTAATTCTGATAGCATGTAACGGGTTTGTTTCAGCTGTTGCCTATGCTTTTCTGGTTTTGAAATCAATACTTGTCACATTTTATAGTTTTCAAGTCAATACTTGTCATGCATTCATATTTGATGGCTATTGATAAGGATGGGTCTAAAGGTTCAATGATGTCTACACCCACAACCACCCTCCTCCAGCTTTTGACTGGCCATTTAATAGATGAGATTCCAAACAGTACAGAGTAGGGTTTTTTTTTTTTTTCATTGACTTGAGTCTGAGTGAAACTTCTGTACATGAAGGTCTCAATTGGATGGAGACCAGCTTGAGAGATTTGAAAAAATTTCCAAATTTACAAAAAATCAGATTGTTTCCTTCCCCATCAATGTGGACATGCTTCAGACAAACTTTAATTTTAGCTGTGAAGTGGAAGAATTAGTATAAACTCATGACTAGGGAAGATTATGAAATCAATTTATTTTCTAATCTCTCGATTGAGTATGTAGTCTAATTCTTGTTAGGAGGTTATTTTATGGTGTTATGGAATTCATGTCTCGCTTTTGTTTCGAGATATGTGCGGACATGCCTTAATTTTTTAGGAAGTGACTATTCGTTTCTGTTTTCTGAAAGAAACATGCTTGAATGAATAGTGGTTTTTGGTTGAGATGAAGTCTGCATTTACGTCTTGGCAGAGCTGTCTGCATTTATGTCTTGGCAGAGCTAATGATCTTGCATGTTAACCAAGAAAAAAAAAATTGGAACCCAATCAGAAATGGAATTCTAGAGATTTGAAAAGCTCGAAGGCGTGTAACATTCCCCAACTGCCTGCTTACCTAATGGCACTATGAAATGAGACAACTCAAATAAACTTATCCAAAAATATCCCAGAGAGGAGAAAAAGGGCTCAATAATTTTTTTTTTTTGAGAATTACTTAGATGATACATATATAATTTTCAGCATACCTCGATCAATCATCTGATGATATCTACAGCGTGTCTTATTGGTCTGATATGCTGCATGTATGTCATGTTTGCATGACTTGAAAATATGTTGGCTTCTGAGCCAATGATATAATGCTTCGTGTCATTCCTGATTTCAGTGTATGATAAACCATCAAGCTCTCCCATGTCTTTTGAACTTGCTGACAAATAATTACAAGAAAAGCATCAAGAAGGAAGCATGCTGGACAATCTCAAACGTCACAGCTGGAAATGCAAATCAGATACAGGTGAGCAAGACTGCTCATTAAATATCATCAGTGGATTCCTGGTTTGGATGAAAATTAGCATGTCCTCAAATTTTCTCACAATGCCTGTAATCTTCTGATTATTTAAAGCTTAGATATTTTGAGGGATACAGGAATTTACAGAAAGTTTTTTGGAGCTATTTATCATGTTGTTTTCTAGCCCATCTGGTAAAATGGAGTTATTTGTCCCCTGTCTCGGCTGCTTTAAAATTCTGAGTTAATGATTGTTTTATGTATCCCCATTTTGTTTACATCCAATGATTGTTTTTAAGTGAGGATATCTTTGAGGATGGCGACAGATAATCTACCAAAAAAAAGACTTCAACTCTCTATTAGATGTTTTTATCGCCTATTTGTTGTAATGTTCATTGCATGAGACTTGCATTTGCAAATTGCGCAGGCTGTACTTGAAGCAGGTATTATTGGCCCTCTTGTCCAATTGCTTCAAAATGCTGAATTTGAGATCAAGAAAGAGGCTGCTTGGGCAATTTCAAATGCAACTTCTGGTGGAAGCCATGAACAAATCAAGTATCTTTTTTCTCTTTCATGACATTCTTCTCCATTAATTGGTTATTTTGATTAATGTGTAAGTTAAAAGATTCAATTCTATTTGCGCATTGTAGGTTTCTGGTGGACCAGGGGTGCATAAAGCCATTATGCGATCTTTTGATTTGTCCTGACCCAAGAATTGTCACGGTTTGCTTAGAAGGGCTAGAGAACATTCTAAAGGTCGGGGAAGCTAAAAAGAATTTGGGCAACACAGGAAATGCAAATCTGTATACCCAAATGATTGAAGATGTTGAGGGTTTAGAAAAGATTGAGAACCTTCAGAGTCATGACAACAACGAAATATATGAGAAAGCAGTGAAGATTCTTGAGACATATTGGGTGGAAGATGGTGATGACTTTGAGGCATTTCCTCCAGGTGATGCTTCCCAATCTGGATTTCAGTTTGGTGGGACCGAAGTTCCTGTTTCCTCTAATGGATTTAAATTCACTTAAGGTATGCAACTTCTCTCACCTAGTTCGTAAGTTCTATGTACAATTTCTCTTCACAAGTGACAAAGGCACCTCCTGGACAGTTAACATTTCACACCGAGGCTGAGCAATTCCTGTTTAATAGGGATTGCTTGTTTGTGCTTGTTTTTCTATTGATATTCTTGCAAAGATCGAGGTCTGGCATTTCCCAATTAGTTGGCTGAGAATGTGTAAGTTTTTGGATATTAGTTCTGAATCTACACATGCAGGGGGATGCCTTCAACTTTTTGCCCTGTGTTAACTTCCCTAGTAGACTACATACCTGTTTTGATATCCGATTGAATTTTTGAAAAATCTATAGATAGTCTTGATATTTGCAGTTGATTGCTTCTCTATATTTCGTAAAACATCATCATAGAGAGTGAATTATCATTTTATAAAGCTCTACAATTTATTGTAACTGTACCGCGTTCTTCCAATTTTACTGTAGTCTTAGGATTATTTCCTTAATCACTTTTTTATACACACTAATTTATGGCAAAGGTTAATTTGTATTGTGTCACCTTTTCTGTGCCAGACATTTGCAGCACCTAAAGTTCATGGTGGAATGAAGCTGAGTGTCCAGGTTTAAATTAATGACTGTTATTTTTGGATAGGGAAGTCACATGCCATAGGATCGTTCTCTGGCTATGCGGTTCAAAAGATGATCTGTTACAGAGATGTTTTTATGTTTGTGAAGAGTCAAGAATTGCCATTGCTGGTGGAATCTACAATCTACAGAAAGTTTTGAGTCTTTTTTTTTTTTTCCTTTTTCTCATTTTTATTTTGCTGGGCATTATTTTGTCATGCCTTGGATGAAGCTGCTCATCACAGCTTGCATCCGTCTGTCGGGTTTACAAGTTAGACCGATGATTGGAAGGATACGCGTTGTCATATGTTCTTTTTAAGGTCTTCTCAGAACAGTTTGGAATCTAAGGATTGCCTTTCTATTTGAAAATGTTTCAATTTTCAGTTTTGAGGGGGCAATTTTTGTTGTCCGTGAAACAAAAACAAGAATTTATGATACAAAATTTACCATTTTTGCATCCTGATTCGCGGCAAAACTTGATTTATCCTTCCGCATGGTTTTCTTTTCTCTGAAGAAAGATGATATCCCTTGCGCACTGTGCTCATTTTTCTTGTGCTTATGGTCATTTTAACGCACGCCAGCAGGCATGTGTTTTAACATACGCACACAAGCCCATTTGAGAGAACCAGGAAGTACATTTTTCGAAATTAGCCTAATCCGCATGGCTGCTTAATTAATGACAGAATCCTTGCAAGAATCTAAAATGGCGAAAGCATGTGCGAAACCAATAAATGTGCAGGAAGAGCTTTGGTTGAATATGGACTGCAAGCCACGTGTCAAGCTGAAAGCGACATGATTGATTGGACAAGAGAAGGAACGTCCATCCTGTGACCGTCTGCTATGTATATAACGTCCAAATTTTTGTCTAGACGTAGCGCTGTAGCAGTACGCTGCCCATTTCCTCCCATTACAGGGTCGTTGGGACTAAAATACCTTCCTATCCAGCAAGTCTGATGGTATTGAACGGCAGGAACGTGGGTATTTCGGTAATATGGGATGCCATTTCGCAACCTGCTCCACTACAAGTGCCAGAAAGTCTGGAAATAGCCCTTCGCAACAGCCAACTAGTGGGAGACCCGTGAGCAAAATAGTACTCGTTTGGACAAACAAAGGCTAGATAAAATTCCCTTGTCCCTTTGATTCGTATCTCTCTTTTGCAATAGAGCCTTCATGGTAGAAAGATCAAGCTGTTCAATTTCAAAAGTCCAAAATAAAATAAAATTACTGCCACCTTTTTTAGCTGAAGTTGAGTCCCAAAGACATGAAGAATCAGCTCTCTTCCAATGATGAAGATGAGTGCCAATTGTCAAGACTGGGCTACTGTTGGTGGAGATCGGCAGCAAAGTTCGATGAATGTGTCAGGCTTAAGCTTGACCTCCCTCACATCGCAAGCCTTACACCAAGACTCAGAGTTCTTAAAGAGTTGGAGAGACTGGCTTTGATTGCTCATGAAGGACTCAATGAGCTCAGATACAAGCTACAAATGTATCGTTCAGGTGATTTCTGGGTGCCCACAGGAGGTCTCAAGAAGGAAGAGATGGACATTCCACCAGTAATTACTATTCTCTTGGTGGGTTTCTCTGGCTCTGGCAAGAGCTCACTTCTGAACCTTATGTACAGTGTTTTTGGTCGGTCTGGACTCATACCTTTTGCTCGAACTTCATCTGGTAAGTTTATTGTGCAGAGCATAGCACAGCCATGAGTTTGCATTTATACTCCAAAGAGTTGCAAAACTGTGGAGTATGAAGCATTTCTGGCAGCACAACTATTAATTTGATTTTGTATTTGTAGGCGGTGCTACCAAATACACCACCATGTACATGGAAGAGCACAATGTAATGAGATCAATGCAAGGTGGGTTTTGTGTGTACGATTCTAGGGGGTTTAATTATGGTAAAATTGGTGATGCTCTTGAGGAATTGTCAAGTTGGATGAGTGATGGGATTCACCATAACCAGCTGTGCCTGAGATCAGGTGATGATGTATTGCTGGAAGCCGACACAGAAACTATTGGTTTGAGGTCATCTTCAAAGTTCGTACAAAGGACAGTAAATATTCCAATGGTGGTGGTTAACATAGCAGAGGTCCATAAAGCCTCAAAAGCTAGTGATTCGAAGCCATTAGAAGCCACAAGAGAACTCTTCCACTCCCCTGCTTTGAGAAAATGCAGTAAGCCTTAGTCTTTACCATCAATTCTTCGTTTAAGGTGCTATCATTTTGACTTTCAGCCATGACAGCTCGGACAACACTTAACTGTATTTTTAATTCCTGTCCTTATAATAAATGGACCAATACACATAGACTCGTGAGAGAACTTAGTTCTTACTTTCAATTTCAGTATATTTAATTTCCTATCTACTGGAGCATGCAATTGTCTTTTCAGATGGTGTGGAATGTCAAACATGTTTCCGTCAGTTTTTTCTACTTTTTTTCCTGGTCTTGACTCAGAAGAGTTTGAATTCATTATGCTGTTTGCCTTGCCCCTACCTGCTTGCACCATCCTCTCTGCTGCATTTATTTCTTATCCCGTTACTGTTTGAGTGAATCTTCAATCATACTTAAAATAACCATACTGCTCTAAATAAAGCATTGCCACAGACACAGAAGACACAGAAGCAGGTTCATTTGGTTGTGCGTAAAATTAAATATGAATTCTGAGCTTTTTGTGACAGTACAATTAAGCAAGAACAGACAACTTCATATGGGAATGCTTAGCATGCAAAATAATGCAAGTTAATTGGCTCCATTTTGCTCGCAGACGAGAATCCTATCTTGATCCTGACACATGGTGACTTGTTGACAACCGAAGAGAGGATCGACATCAGGCTCAGATTATGCGAGCGTCTAGGAATATCAGAGACGAATGGAGTGTATGACATTGTTTGCCTCACAGAATATGGATTTCTCGCGGAAGAATCTGATCCTGTTTCAGCGTATGCCTTAGCTGAAGCTGTATACCGGGCATTGCTCATCTCAGACAGGGGGCATTTTCCAAAGAAAAACCTCCAGGACTGGGCAGTGTTCGTATTGTCATGGTTAATGTTCTTCATGGGTGCTCTCTTCTCCTTCCTTGCTGATCTTTGCTCAAAACTTGGACAAAGGGATAGGTTGAAGCACTGAAAGCAAGAAGCGTCTAATTTGCTCGATCTGTTGTGTATCACTAACTGGTACAGATTTTATTTTATTTTATTTTGCACTCAAGATGTTGCTCCAACAAAGGGATATGTTGTGTATCACTCCATGAGACTTTAGATGGCCTGACTAAATTATTCGATGTAAATTACTAATGACAGAGGCTGAAGCAGTGAGTTGATCTTTTAATTTAATTTAGTTTTGCAGCCATTAATTGGTATTTCACTCTTACATTCCAAAAGAGAGTCCATACAAATTGAACACGGTAGAGGACAATACAACTGGTCATGAATTTCTTAAGAATTTGAATTTCAAAAGAGAATTGTTCCTGTTTGCCATCCCCAATACAACAAAGGACAGTAGCAAGTGTTTGGTCCCTTATGCAAGAAGAACTAGTATTTTGCACATCCTAGTGATCTATGCTACCATTCATGTTATTTCCGAAGGCGGAACTCAATGAGATGGTTCCAGACATGGTTCCGTGTGATCGAGGAGTATGCAGCTTTCTGCCGCGAAACAGACACCGTTTTGGCCTTTTGCATTGCCGGTGGACTCGTGATGCTTCGAAGGACTGTTCTTTTTCTGCAGTGCGAGTGGGAGTTCAATGTCGTGACTCAATCATTCAATTATTATCGGTAAAGCCAATAATTATTTAGGCATCTCAGAGAGAAAAATCAGCAATAGCATCACATACCGCGACGTTTGGGATTTGATATGTTATATATTATGTTTGAAATTGTGTTTAATATTCTAATAATGATTTTTTTAAAAGTGTGTTTTTATTTAAAAATAATGTATATTTTAAAAAAAAAAACTATTTTTGATATTAACTCATTAAAATGATTTAAAAATACTCAAAAAATATTAATTTTAAATAAAAAATAAAAAGATCATTTTTTTTCTGAAAAAACGTAAAGCTAAACAAGTTTTTATATTGTTACGGTTTCATTTTTATATTGAGGTGAGCTGTGATATAAAAAGAGTATTTATTGAATAACTAGTTATCGGATTATACTTATAAATAATTAAATAGTACTTGGTTAAATTTTATTGTTATTAATTTTGATATATGAAATGACCAGCAAGAACTGTACTGATTATTTAAACAAAAAAATTTAATTTATATTAAATAATTTACGGCTTCTTAAACTTATACAGCATATGAACATATTTTTTATAAAAGTAATTCTTAAGTTTCAACACAAAAGAAATGAATAGGATGGCAATATTTATAGGCATATCATTTTAATATAATCAATAATATAAAAAAATTGAAATAGAATTATGTAAAACACTAGCACAATTGGTATGTATAATAAAAAAAATTGATGGAGAAATTTGTATTTTAATTAAAAAATCATTTTTTATTAAAAAAATAAAAATGTTTCTTTCTATAGTGACAACTGCTTCTATTTCAAAGCAAGATATTATATTGATCAAACATCTTAAGATAAATAAAAAAATTATATTAAGGTAAAACTTGTTCACTCTCTCGGAACAAAAAAGGAAAAGAAAGATATTTGATACAATAACTTCTTTATTTAAAAATGATAAAAAAATATTTTTAAACAGTCTAGAAAAAAGATCTATTTTTATTTATTTATCTCATCTCTGACTAAGTACATATTTATTCTTATTATATATATTTCTGTGGTATAAGACACGAATAAAACCAAGCACAATCTAAAAAACCATCAATAGCAAACAATCACAGGATGTTCCTTTCGTTTTATCAAGCTAGGGCAAGGACACAAACGATGAAGGCATGGATGGCTGGCTGGCTGCGTCTGGTCCAGAATCGGTGGCCTGGGTTTTTGTCTCTTCTTCCATCGTTATCTCTTCATTACAACCTCAAGCTTTACCACAACCTTTTCTTTTCCTTCCCACTGCTCATCTACAACTGCTAAGAAACAAAGGTGGCATCTTGTCTTGATTCTGCTTCATCTCACTGTCTCTGTCACAACCCATTTACCAAAATGTCCATCTACACCTTTCGCTTGGAGCCATGGGCATTTCTTGCTTTCAATTCTTAATTTATTCTGTGCAGTGATTTGATGGCGTGGTCTGTGCTTTATACATGAAAGTTCAAACGTCTCTTGATTTAGGCATTTGGGGTCCCAATACCTCTAAAAAAGGAACTGTGTGATCAGTGCAGAAGGGTATCATTCCTGTTGCACAAAATCGAGTGGAGTTTCTTATTTTGATGGAAAACAAAGCAAAATAGAACTTATTTCCTTGCTGCAATATTCTTCCTTCAACATCACATTCACCTCCGAATTGTATCTTTATTGGAAGATTTTTCTTTTTGGCATTTAGGGAAAATATTAACTGAGAAACAATCACCAAATCATTTCTTAAAAGTTTTCAAATATTGAATTAATAGATCTATTAATGGAATCTATCATTTAATGTATGAGATTTTCTCCAGAGAAAAAAATCATATATATATATATATATATAATATGTCATGAATGATAAATGGGTAATTGTAGACATTGTAGTTATTAAATGATAAATCAACGCTAAAGAAATAACAATTTCCACGTTATTTCATATGAAATGCACAAAATTGCTAAAAAAAACTATTTTGAAAACAACTATTATCAATAAGGTAGAAGAAAATCTTTGGATTATGGAGGGTGACTAAACTTTCTGTTACCGATTGTGATCATAAAATAATGTTTGTAATTGTTATAATAATTATTTTTTAAAATATTTGTTGTTTGAAAATATATTAAGATAATATATATTTATTTTTAAAAAATTATTTTTAATATTTAATTATAATAAAAATTTAATTTTTTTAATTTTCATGAAATTTTATTTAGAATATAATTTTTTTAATTAATGAATTCTAAAATTATCCTTAAAAAAACGTTATGGTCCTGGAATCAACCACATATGGGTATTTTAGTCTATTAAAGAAAATTTGAATTAGGGTTTCTGCGAGGCAGCCCCCACGGTAGAAAACTAGCCGTCTTGTTACTTGAACGAGGCAGCTGTTATTATATTTGCAAGGCTCTTCAAGTGCCCTGTTTCCCATTCCCATGTTTCTTCTACTTCTTTCCTATTAACACCTCCCTCGCTGCATTTATATCTCTCCTTCAATACCTAATGAGAATGTTTTTTTGTATGCTGTTGCTCTCTTCGCTTTAGGTCTTTTTGAGTTGAGACACACTTGCCTCTCTCTTCTTCCTCCAAGTCTCATGTCTGCTGAATCTTAACTTATCTCATACAGCACTTATTTTGAAGTGCTTGTCTTCAGTCTCTAGCATAACCTGTTTGCACTGATCATGGATTTCAACACAAAAGTGAGTGATCTTATCCTTTTTCCATAGCTTTTTGTTTTTTAATTTAGTGATGGTTATTGCTCGGTTTACTTGTTACTTAATGTCCTCGATTTTTTTTAAACAGGGATCAGAGTCAGAGGACATGGATAATACTCAATCAAGTAAGGGTAACGAGATCAAAAGAAGATGCATGGATTGCCAAACTACAAGAACCCCATGTTGGCGAGGCGGTCCGGCTGGTCCCAGGGTGTGTGTAACTATTCACTTTGCAATGATTATCTTCCTTAAGTTTCTGTATTGTGATTCTGATTAGCTTTATTAATAACTTATACTTTTATTATTTGCAGACACTTTGCAATGCATGTGGGATCAGACAGAGGAAGAAGAGGAGAGCACTTCTTGGGTCTGACAAAGGAGGAGCGGAGAGGAGTAAAAATAAGATTGCTAAAAGCAGCAATAGTAGTAAGCTAGGAGTTTCATTGAAGCTAGATTTGATGGGTTTTAGAAGAGATGGGATATTGCAGGAAGATTGGAAGAGAAAACTGGGAGAGGAAGAACAGGCTGCCATACTCTTGATGGCCTTATCTTGTGGCTTGGTCCGTGCTTAGGATAAGATAAAGGAAAGCATTTTTCTTCTGCGTGGCTTTCTAGTTGTCTTCAAGTTTAAACCCCAATCAATATTCAATGTTTTTTGATGGGGAAATTGCAACGTGTAAAATTGCAAAATGATCAAGCACTTACATGAATACAAACAATGATTTCTTTTCACATTAGATTCTTTTGTTCATCGTTAAACATTCGGGATACCGAACGAAATCCAGCAGTTTGAACAAGGATTAACCTTTGATGGCAGTAAAACTCAGTCCCTGCGGAGGCAGACAATCTTTCATTGCTAGCAGACTACAAGATGCCTGTCAATGCCCAAATGATTGTAACTCTCTGAAGAATATAAATTTACGGGAGCCCAAGAGCTCCTTCCATTAGCATCGAGACATGAAAAATGTGATTTGGTTTCTTCGGCCATTTGATGAACTCAGGCAGAGCGAGCCCCGATTTCTTCTAAATAGATGAGAGGACACGAATCGCCATTTGAGTCATGAGTTTACATGATTCACATCTAGCAGCAGGCGACACTTGTCAAATAATTCATTTCATATTTTAAAGTAACTACCCATAATTATTATATGATCCCACTTATAATTGTTATGTGATGCCACTTTAGATAATGGATATTATTAGAACTTAAAAGCTACATGAGATCTGCAGCATTGAATAAAATGCGATCAAACACTCTCAAGTTCAATTCATTGACTTCTCCTTAGCACTTGGGTGTGCCCCGTTTAAGCTAATGGCTATTTGAGCAATGATTAAAGACCTTATTTAACAAAGATCCCAAGAATAAGTGAAGATTGCTTTTATTTAAGGAAGAGCTCAAGTATAAAATAAAAATTATACAAGGCCTCACTTGTCATATATATATATATATATATATATATAATTATTATTTTTTAAGTATTTTATATTTCTTTATAATTTTTATTCTCCTGAGCCCGCTGAACAGATCCATCAAACACATGCTGAGGACCCAACATCCTTACGTGAGGGGAAGAGCACGCAGGCTTCATGGGCCTCTAATTGTTAATCATTTCACGCTAAAAACCAACCCTAGAGGATTGGATCGACCCCACTTCTACTAGAGAATTCGAGCGGATGCCTTACTTCCTTCAAATGCAGAAGCAGGAAGAAACTTCTGAATGCTTCGAGGTGCCTCCCTCACAATGGATACATAAATTGCCACGTCAAATAGTTTAAGACACGTGTCTCCACATAAGCATATTTTCTTCTCTAGAAAGTCCCCCTCCCTTCTTTTTCTAGGTTGGAGCTTGCCTTCGTTCTTGGTTCTGAACTTCGAAACAAAAGTGCTAATTGACTGTCTAATTCAAGCATTAGGGAGCGAATTTGAATATGATCCAGTCAAGACTAGCTGCAACCGCAACAAGATCGTATAGGTCCCTCTATTTAGCCAACAATCTCGCTCGAGTTCGAGGGTTTGCTACAGAACCAACTGGTCGCCCTGCTGATCCTGAGGTTTACGCTGACCGTGAGCATGAAATTCAACATGCTCTTCCCACTGGAAAACCTGAAGTAAGATCTTCGTTGTCTTTTTATCTTTTTTAGAAGTCATTTGATTGATCCGTGAAAAATGATATCCACAGAGACCAATTTATATATAATTAGCAGGAAATGGCAGGAAAGTACGAGCCTGGAACCGGCAAGCGACAAACAGAAGCAGAATACAGACTCAGTAAAGATACCGAACCATTGGCACCACCCAAACCGCCACATGTGCCTACTACAAGGCTGGAAAATGCTGGGGTTCACAATCGAGCAGAACCCATTGTCCAACAAAGGCGAAAGAACTCAACATTGACACTAGAAGAAGTTAGCCGCGCTGGACTTGATGGCGCGCCATGGCCAAAGGATGAGAGAAGCACCAAGGAACTAGTAGAAGATGACAAGGAATATTTCAGGCGTCGCAAGGCGTCGCCGTTGTCAGAAACTCAGGTGGCGGATACTAGAAAGCCGATAACAAGGGCAACTGATGGCACTGCTTGTGAAGAAATTTATAAAGAACCTGGAGGCGTGATTGGGTGGTTGCCAGAGCAAATTGACACGGCCGAGCAGGCACTCGAGAGAGCTCGAAGGATTTGGATGGAGAATGCTATGCGTGGTGATCCTGATACACCACATGGTCGGGTTTTAAGAGAGCTTCGAGGAGAGTGGTTTTGACCTCTAAAGACGGAGATTAACACTTGGTTGTGTTTGAGAAGAAACAATAGAAGCTGCGTTTGACCTTCCTAATTTAAAAAGCGCAAGTTACATAAATCAAGCATGGTTTTGAATTGTGCTGGATTTCAAATTTAAGCGTTAAAGTTTCAGAATTGAAATTATATTTTGTAATGTAATACAAATAAGAATCTACACTGAAATAGTAAGTTCAGCGGTCACACTTTCTAGTGGCGTGTCATAACTTTTGATTTTAAAACTGTTTTTTTTTTAAAATATTTTTAAATAATATATTTAAAAAAAAAAACTATTTTCATATCAGAATACTTTAAAACATAAAAAAAATTAATGCCCTGAAAAATTCTAAACTGCCCTGAAAAATTATTTCCTCATGGTATGGGATGTTATAATATGGCTGACGTAAGTTGCGTGGGATAAGTGTTTAATGTAACAATTTATCTGATAATGATGTTTTGCCTATCTGTTTCCTAGACAAGCTACGAATGCGACCCTCAATCCCATTTCTTCTTACAATTTTCATCTGGTAAAAGTTCAATTAAAAGAACCAAAAAAGAAATTTAAACTCAGAATTCCTACTTAGTGGTAAGACAGTCTGTTAACTAATCAGTGGTAAAACCGCCGGTTTCTAGTTATATTCATCACTGTTGTTTTGGCAATCGTTCATCCCTGACAAACTAATTTACTGTTCTGTAAATCTCTGCAGTTGATATTTGATAGGCCGCCAGCTGAAGGTGATGTGATCGATGCAAACGTTGATATAAGAAGACGATGTCCAAAAATCCAATCAGTTTTTGAATATTCGATTAATTAATTAGTTTTAATAATTTTATTTGTTTATTTTAGTTAAGATAATACTTAATATTTGATATGTTAAAGATGACTCGTGAGTAGTATTAAATTTTATTTAATAAAATTGGAGATTTTTTAATATTTAAATAAATATATTGTTAAAAAGATAAAATATAATAAAATTTCAAAGAAAAAGTTTTCAAAATATATATAGAAAATAAAAATTATAATTTTTTAAAAGTTTAAAAGTTTTGTAGTATATTTATAATTTACTAGTCTTGTTGTTTTATGAAGATAAAAATTTCAAGTATAATTTTATTTTGATAATATTTAATGAGTGATAAATATCTTTTATATTTATATTAATAATTAATGAAAATATAATTAGTCTTTGAAGAATTTTTATGTACCTAAAAGTTGTAGAAAGATTGTGGTCCAAGATGTCAAATATAGTTAAGTTTATAAAGGTTAAGCTCTTCTCTTATGTTAGACCTAAGAAAGATAAGTCCTTCCCTTCGGGGGTGAGTAAGAAAACCAGAAAATAGATTAAATCGAGAAAACCTGAAAAAAATTAATCAAAAAACTGAACAGTGAAAAAAACAGATTAAATTAATTAAAATTTTTAAAAAACCAACCGGTTTGGTTTTATAAGCTTGAAACTGAAAAAATTGAATCGAACCAAAATCGAAAAGCAAGAAAAAAACCGAGCCAAACTGGTTTGAATCGGTTTTTATTCTAAGAAACAAAATAGAACCGAAACAAATCGATTTCTGTTTTTTTTTTAAATTTTGGTTTAGTTATTTAAAACGAATCAATTTCAGTTCGATTTCTCTTTTTTTTTTTAAATTTTGGTTTAGTTATTTTTTTAATAAAAACTGAACCGAATTGAAAATAATCACTCCTACTTTCCTTAATGAGCCTAAGGGAGGTTGGTTTTGTTGAGTGAGTTCGAGAGAGACTAGGTTTGTTCATTAGACATGCTTAAAGGAGGGTGTTCAACCTTTTGAATATACTTAGAAATGATAGATATGATCGAGACTTGACATCTTGTCAAACTTAGTATACTCGGGACTTGGTATATTATCACGCTCAATCATAATTGGATCTATCTAGCGTTAAACCCAGCATATTTTTATTATAATATGCTTGTGTTCTGTAAAATTTATACTTATAATTTTTTTTATTTTAATTAATGTTTTTTTAATAAAAATATACCGATGAAAACTTCCTTAAACATAAGAAATAAGGACCACGTTCCTATTTTTCCAATTCTAATTTCATTGTTGACGATAAATATATCAAAAATGGTGTGGTCGCCAGTACTCTTGCTCTAAATTTTGGTTCTTTCTTCCAGTCTTTAAAAGCCATTAAAAGTTCATGATTTGCTACCCTTCTCTTATCTCCGGCCTCCGTCTTTCACTACTCTTTATTCACCAATTATGATAGAAATGGCAAACCGCATGAGAATGCTGCTATTAACCCTTTCCATCAACTTCTCACTATCATCAACAATTTCTAAAGTTTCTAAAGAACAAATACCATGCACAATGTGCTATTCCTGTGACAATCCTTGTCAGCCTTTACCATCGCCGCCTCCACCTGCTATCCCTGAATGTCCACCGCCTCCTCCCCCACCTTCTCCACCGCCACCTGCTATCCCTGAATGCCCACCGCCTGCTCCCCCACCTTCTCCACCGCCACCAGCTATCCCCGAGTGTCCACCGCCACCAGCTCCTATTAATGAGTGCCATGCGTGTCCAACACCACCGACACCATTTCCGCCTGTGCTACCGCCTAAGCAGTCGTATTGGCCGGCTGCTGGCTATTCCTTTAATGGACCACCAGCTGGTTACGGGAACAATCCAGTGCCTTACTTTCCATTTGACAATAACAACCCGTCACCTTCTTTCTCTTTCAAATCCGTTAATTTGCAGCTGCAGTCCATTGTTCTCTGTATTTTTCTTTCGCTGACTTTTCTATGCTGCTTCTAACAATTAACCTCGTAGGCAGCTTGGAACTCAGAGGAGAGGAAATTCCATTTAACAAAGCAGCAGGCCGCCCTGGAAATGCTAATCTAAAAGAAGAAATATGGGTTAGCGCGTGGCAGTCAATTCTAAATATGAAGGATTTTTCTGTTTCCTGCCCCCTTTATCTGTTCAATATTAAATATTCAAGCATGTTATACATATTTAAGATAGTGAAATACATAAATCTGTAATCCCTAATGCGAATTTAGTATGTAATTTTCATTTTTCATTCATCACATCAATCCAGTTCATGCATGTGTTTGACCGTAACATCTAGACGCATCTCTGGTCTCTGATTCTTCCTTCAATTATTTCTTTCCTTATTTCCTTTTCGCCGATATTTTCCATCAGTCATTTCTGACCGAAATAGCGATAGAATACCAAAAAATAAAATAAATAATTAAAATTAAAAATTAAAATTTCGTAAAAAATTTCAACAATAATTTGACATCTGACAAAATTTCTAACGAAATTTTTATCAATAATTTTAAATGAATTAAAACCTAACTGTTCTTTATTCCCTCCATTTCTTTACCTTCATTTCTTAAAAAACCACCAGCAACCTCTTAAATTCTCCATAAATTTCAGCCTTCCTCTTACAAATCTGACCATCCAACCTGCCTGCATCGACCACTATTTTTCAATAGTGTTTGCTTCTATCTATTGGTTTCATTTTATCTTAAGTGTTACACCATCAAGTTAGTAATCCATTTATTTTTTTAACATATTTATGTTTTAAGTTAATTTATTAAAATTTATTTTTAGTATTTTGGTCACCTATATATTTAAGTGTTTTATAGCTTTTTTCTAGATAGTTTTGTTGTATTAATGCATGATTTGTATGTTAAGGTATTTTTGAGATTTGGAGAAAATTGATTTTATTTGTCATTTGATGAAATTGAATTTGATTTTATCATTTATGTGTCTTATAATTAAAGAAATAATAGGTAATTTAAAGGGTATCAATTATATTTTGTTAATTTTATTACTAAGTTAGAAATTTAGGAAAAATTGATTCTTATGGAATTAATAATAATTAAAATGTATTGATTTAGGTTGAATAAGTTTGAATTGAATGAATAATGAATAACTAGTGTGGTGCTAATTATTTTTTGTTAATTTTTTTGTTTAGTTCACGTATTGATGGAAAATGAAATTTGTGTAGAATTGATAATTAGTTATTGGATTACAAATTCATTTTTAATAAAAATTTCTCATCAAAATTTTATATAGGTTTCATGAGCAATGGATAATTGTTCTTGGATATTTCAAGATACTAAAAAAGGGTTATATAAGTAAGATTATCTTAAAATATTTGGGGGTTTTATTATTTTTATACTTTCTAATCCAAAAAATAGTAGCGGGGTGAGGTTAGATGTCCATGTGCAAAGTAAAAAAATAAAAATAGTCATCATAAAGATGTTATGATGTCCATGTGCAAAGTAGAAAAATAAAAATAGTCATCATAAAGATGTTGTGACGATGCATATATTTAAAAAATAGTTTGTTAAGAAATACTTATATTGGTTTGTACACGAAAAATCTTATGTTTCTTACGAAACCATGTTAGAGAGGATGATTAGCTCAACTTTAACTTCTAGTAGCATACAAGGTTCACGTAACATTCTTTTAGGTAAAGAGCTGAAAGTTGATGCAATTAGGTTTTTTAAACTTCGGAAATATTCTAATGAATTATTATGAGATGGTTCAAAACTCAGTAAGTTTTCAATTATTGAACAAATGTTTACTATAAAGTCAAATTATGAATTGAGTGAGGTTAGTTATGGTTGGATTATTGAACAACAAAAAGCATGTTACTTAAAAGAAATAGGCTGAAAAATAATTTTTATGTTGCAAAATCTATAATAAAACCCTCTTGACCTAAGATACAAAGGAAAAAAAAAAATACAAACTCTTGCATGTTATACTAAAGCCAACATACAAATTTTACCTAATACAAAACTTGTCTCTATTTTGTTTTTCATTTTATAATGATCTTTTCTCTCTTCCATTTCATCAAATCCCAGCAGGCATTCCTTATAAATTTGGTCACCCAACTTGCCATCTCCAATGCAATCTCTCTCTAGTAGAGTAAGCTTCTCTCTTGGTTACATATCTTGTCAAACTTCACTCCATTGAGTAAGCAAACCAACTTATTTATATTTTAAGTTAATTTACTAAAATTTGTGTGTAGTGTTTATAATTTTCTTTTATTTTTAAGTGTTTTGCTTGTTTTATAATGACAATTTTTTTTTCTATTAATATATGATTTGTATTCTAGAGTTTGTTTGGGTTTTGGAAGAAATGAATTTAATTTATCACTTGATAAAATTGAGTGTGATTTTATAACTTATGTGTGTTAGAATTTAAGAAATGTCGGGTAATTTAATTGTTACCGATAATTTTGTAATAATTTTATGGTGAAGTTGGTAATTTAAGAAAAAAATAATTTTGTATGGAATTAATAATAACTAAAAGTGTTAATTTAGGTTGAATAACTTTGAATTGAAAAAACAATGAATAATTAATTGAGTCTCAATTAATTTTAGTCAATTATGATTTTTGTTGAAAAATTAAGAAAAAATAATTTAATATATAATTTTAAAAAATTATGATATTAATTGATAGTGATAGTTATGCAAATAATAATATTGGTTGTAATGATGATGTTTGTTATGATAATGATAATATTGATAGTGGTTATGGTATGTCAACTAGTGGTGGTGGGGAGGTGCTGATAATAACTAGTGATGGTGACAATAAGGTGATGATTATTATTTTGACCGGGAAGACGTAGAAAAGTTACAAAAACATGGTAATAAAAAGATAACTATATTTTGATAAAAATAATAACGGTGGTGGTATAGTAGGTAATTGTAAAATGATGGTTATATTAATAAACTTTTTGAATTGTAATTATTATTTCATTTTAAGTACTATGTATTTTATATTTTATATATATTTTAGAAGAAATAAGTTCAAGTTTAAGTTTAACAAGAACATTATTATTTTATCAAGTAACAGTAATAATATCAGTGATAATGGTATAAATTTAAAAGTGATTATGTAAAAACATATAATGTAAAAGTTATTGATCAATACTATGAATATATTGTGATCAACTAAGTGTAACTATGAATTTTTTTTTATTTTTTTTTGTCTTTTTCAATATATTTGATGTGATTTAGCGGGTATATATATATTTATATTAATTATTTGATTGTATTTTAATTATAATTTTAATGGTTTCTTGCTTGAATCTTAATGTATTATTTATATGAATTTATTATTTAAATCTTGTAATAGTGAAAACCGGCATGTCTATTTTTGTGTAATCCATTTAACATTATTTACAATAACAAGTTTTGTATTAAATCAGCAATTTATAATAACAATGAAAACTTTTTAAATATTGATCAAATATTTTGGTGGCATCCTGCAATTTGTGCGGTAGCGCCTCTACCACTGCGTTGTCACGATGATATTTTTCTGGTGCCGTTGTTATTTGTTCGGAAAGGAGGACACATCGGAGGAGTTGAACCGGCCTCAGTTCCCTCTTGCACTTGTAATACTTACTGGCAACCCTAGTCGGTGGATTGACTCAAAATACGGAAGGAATAAGGGCTGCCATTTTTTAATTTGTTCTTGTTCGTCTTTTGATAATGGTGGCGTAGAAGATTTAAAAAAAACCAGGTCATAGTACGGTCACCGATACATTTGCACATGCCCGGTGTGCCCTTCTTCATTGCTAAATACCAACCACCACCATTTTGTTTTCAGCACCATTCTCCCCATCCTTTTTCCCTCCTTCAAAAATCTTATGAACAACAACACCAGTTTCTAAGGATCCTATCACCATCATTAGAAATTAAAATGATTAACCCCAACTCCCTATCAGTATCATTCTTAATTCTCTTCATTTTGCACACCGATTACTTTTCATCAACCACATCGAACATTACAGGAGTTTCCAAGACACAATGTACAATGTGCTCTGGCTGTGAAAACCCATGCCAACCCCTTCCATCCACTCCTCCACCACCACCCCCTGTCTCCACTTGTCCGCCTCCGCCAGCGGTTGTCTCGGGCTCCCCACCGCCACCATCAATGCCAAATTCAGGCACAATTTACTACTCGCCACCGCCACCTAATTCAGTGCCCACGTACGCGTACTCCCCTCCGCCACCACCCGCCGATGTTGCTGGATTTTATCCGCCGCCAAGATATGGTAACCATCCAGCGCCTCCGCCACCGAACCCTATACTTCCTTACTTTCCATTCTATTATTATAACCCTCCACCATCGTCTTCTCCTAACTCTGTTCTCTTGAAAATGAACCCCATTGTTTTTTTCATTTTTCTTTTTCTTTCTTTCCTCTGTTGCTTCTAAATTGATCAGAAACTCATTGACCAATAAATGCAGAGGTTTTTCTTTTCTTTTCCTTATTAAAAAATAAAAATTTCAGTTATATTTCTGTACTTACAGATATTCTTTTAGAAAGTCATCCAATTTATTGTCCCTTCTTTTATAAAAAGAAATCCACTTAGAATTCAGAAATGCAGGATGAGACGCAAAAGCTTTGCTTTTGCTATGGGCTAGACCGCCAGAAGAAGCAGGATAAATGAAGGCTGCGGGGATCAGAGAAATGGCTACCACCATGCTACATGTGTAATTCTCGAAAGATGTATTTTTTCGTTGCTCAAAGAAAAAAATAATGTAGAGTTGGGATTTTCATGTGAAAAGAAGTATTCTCCGTGAGATACAAAACATGGAACGATTGTTTGTATTTGCTGTGAAACAGTGTTTTGTAATTTTTAAAAAATTCATTTTTGTTTGAAATTAATTATTTTTTATATTTTTATATTATTTTGATTTCATGATATTAAAAATAATTTTAAAAAACAATTGCTATCATATTATTAAATATTATAATACACTTAAAGGGATGATGTTATTTTCACCTTTTGAATTAATTGTTTGTTATTCTCTATACTTAAATTAGTTTATTATAATTTTATGATTTCATCTTTATTTAATTTTAAAAATAAGATCCTGAAACTATACCAGCAGTGTACATCTTCTAATAACGATAGGAAATATCCATAGCTGAAAGAAAAAAGAGAGAGAGAGAGTAAGAAAACATAAAATATAAATAAAAGAATTTAGCAATCCATTTTAAGAAATTGAAATATATTATTCTAGGCTAAACCCATAATTTTCCTTTTGTTTTTATCCTAAGAGTAAAACATAAATTAGTCTCTTTAGTTTTTCAAAATGAATTAAGTTGTTTTTCTAGTTTTAGAAATTAATTAATTAATCCCTTAACCAATACTGATCATTTTTAAGTTAATATTACTTTATTTCAAAAAATACTTTCTTTTCTCATCAATCTTTTTCATATGATCTACTTTTTCTATCCTCTAAAATAAAAAAATAAAATAAAAAAAGAACATGGAATAATGGACAAGATTAATTAGATTATAAAATGCAGAATCTAATTAATTAGTTTTTGGAAACAGAATAACTATTTAGTTCGTTTTGCAAAACTAGAAAGATTAATTTATAATCTACTCTTATCCCTAAGCAGTCTAGATTTTGTTAATCCAATCAAACAAATCCATTGTTTACTGTTTTATAAAAAAATTAAAAAAGAAAAAGAAACTGCATGGTCTCGAAATCTTTGTGAAAGTAGATTGGATTCTGATTGGCATATGTGCCATCATTAATTTATCAGCTCCCCTGCACCTTGAAGGCTAAGGAAAAGATAGAGGTTCTTTTAAGAAGATCCTCGTCTTAAAAACAAACAAAGAGACGGAAATGATTGATTGGAAGGTCCCTAAAGGTGGTAACGACGTGGGAGGTGGATTACAGTCGAATTTTGCACCTCTGGAGGTCCATGTGCTTTGTTTTGTTGGCAGCCGAGGGCGGTGGCACCGGTGAGAGACGGCTTGAATATATGCCCTCGCACATGCCACTGTTCTATTTTTTATTCCCCCTCTAAAATGGAGGAGATGGGCACATGTTTTTGTATTCCTAGCAAAAGCCGAGTCTCCTGCAGATCGTGGAAAGCCCAAAGACACTCACACAAATAATTTCAAAAAATATCCAGTAAAAGTTTGGACCAAAAGATTTGCTTTTCTGTTTCAAGTTCTAGTGATTAATTTTATGAGCAGTAAAATTAATTAAGATAGGCATAAACTATCCAAATATCTGTATTAATTATAAAAAAATAATAATCAATGTCCAAGGATGTAGCGGCGGCATCTCTCCTACAGCCATCCGTGAAATCATTTTGTTCAGAGAGGTTTCTTGTTAGCACCGTCAGAACATTGTGAAGTTTTTTATTGTGCCGGCCATGACATTTATTACATTAGAGGAGAAAGGAACATGAATAATTTGTACGTTATTAATAATAGCATAAGTTAAAGACAATAATAAAATAAAGAATACAAAATATTTTAATGGATGAAAATAGCTGCATATATGAGCTGTGGCAAATCTTCTGGGATAAATTTTTATCTAGTCGTAACAAATCTTTTTACAAATCTCTATCTAACTTCATATATAATTATTATTTTTTAGATTAGAAAGAACTTATTCTTGAGTTACTTTTTTCCTCCAAATAAAAAGTCAAGTGTTAAATATTAAAGACATTAAAAATCTTTATATAATAAAAAAATAAATTGTGTGAACATTGTCATTTATCTTCCGCGATACCTTACAAGACTTATCTTTCATTTCTTCAACTCGTTATACTCAATCACTCATTAAAAGCCTATCTTATATAAGATCTTTCTTTTACTAGGGCTTTATACTTGATGTTGTTGTCATCGATGGTCTGCTTAATCTCATGAACATCATATAAATAATTTGCTATATGAGTAACTTTGATGCTTAATCATCCTATACGAGGAGTAAGAATTAGCTCAGTGACCCAACTGAGCTATTTTATTTATTTATTATTATTATCATGGTGTTGAGATCTGCTTCTTTTCTGGTTGTGTTTGTCATTATTATTCATTAAAAACTGATAATTTTGTTGATTGATAATGACTTGTGCTAGCCCCACAAGAAAATAACACTTTGTCTTTCGCTTACTTGGAGTGTGTTCATCGATCATTTATAATCAGAAAACTAACAGCGCTAGTGGATTTAAGATTTATAGTGTTTTACACCTTTTCCTTTATTTGTTTTTTTTTTAAAAAAAAAGAAATGACAAAACAAATCATAGAATGATACAGGAGAAATTCCCAAGGATTATATTTGAAGCCAAGGGCTCTGATTATTTAGTTCCAAGAAATCAAGTCCTACAGGCAGTAGTCTGATCATGCAGCTCATAAACCTGTTGTATTCGCTATTTTCCTTCTATTCTAGCATTATGCGTCATCTTACGATATTATTCAAAAAACCAACCACATTCATAGATGCGTCATCTTACGATATTATTCAAAAAGCCAACCACATACATAGCTCTATTTGGGCTTGGTAAATGCCATTTTCCTTATTCAATGTATTCTCTCGCCTCAGAGTAATGCTATTTCTTGAGAACATTCAACAAGATGAAGTGATCTCAAGGTCTTTCTGGAAAAGAATAAAGATAATTCGGTGAGAACAACACTAACCTGCTCCATTTTAGGTAGCATTGATTGCATCTTTGTCACTGTTATGGTGTGGAAACCCAGGTTTCTTCTCTCCCTCTCCCTAATTCATGCGTGAATGTGATTGAAAGAAAAACGCTCGACACTTGACAGCATTCGATAGACAAATGGTGAAGAAATTAAAGAACATATTCAGAAAGCAGCGACTGATTTCCAATATTCCCTCTGGTCCCTCATAATAAGTGAGAGCATGAATCCTTCCATCTACCAAGGTCTTCTTTCCAAATGCATTTGCTCTCATTTCAGCTGCTATCCCTCTAACCGTTTCAGAACCAGCCAAATTTTCCAATGTCAATTAATTAGTCCCAGACTCAAATATCGGCGTTGCAAATAAGCAATTACTGCTGACAAAAAAGTCAGTTTTTGGTTTTTTTTTTTAATTCATTTAAAAACAGACGGTCGCTTTATTGGTTATTTTTTGGTTTCATTTTTAAAATAAATAGATATAAGATGAAATAAGATTAAATTAAGAATCTATTGAAAATGATAAAGAACTTTCATTTCCCTTCCCAAGGTTGCCTTGTTTTTTTTCCAATTGATGCTATATATATCAAGTTCAGTGTTGTTGTTCCTCTTAAAAAATGTTTTAATATTATTGTTATTTTTTTTATTAATATGAGTGTTTGGTCAATTTATACACGTCTCAGCTAATTTTATAAATTCTAAAATAAATGATGATATAAGTCTAAATTTATAAACTTTAAAATTTTTCATTTCAAATTTTATGAAAAAGCTTGGTTTGATTTATTCAACGTAAAGAATGACAATAGGTGTTTAAGAGTCTATTTTCAACTATATTCATAAATGAGTAACGAAAAATCTCACATATTCGTACCTAATTCATAAAAATATCCACATAAGTATTTATTATTTGAAAGCTATTTATTATTCAATATAAAATAAAACATAGTAATATACACACAGTTGAGGTGTGTGTCATAAAAGAGAAAGAGAGCAATATTAAAATATTTATATATTAAATTAAACTAATACACAAACATGGTTGTATATATTACAAAAAACTTAAAGAGAATGATAATTTTATTGTTTTGTTGTTATGTGTAGATAACATGTTGATAATAAATCTCAACAAAAATCAAGTTCAAGAATTAAAGATATAATTAATTAGGAATTTTCATATAAAATACGTAAAACCATCAAATAAGATTTTAAAAATATAAATTTACCTAGATAGAAGTAAAAAGAAGATTTGGTTTTCAAAAAAAAATTATTTTAAAAAAATCTTGCACATTTTAACATGTAAAATTATAAGTCAATTCAAACCCTATTTCTTGTTAACTTCAAAATATCATATTATGAGTGAGTGAGAAGTTTAATGTTTATTAAGTATAAGATTATACACTGCACAAATAATGTGGAAATAGTTAGTTGATACATAATAAATTCTAGTATAGAACATTAAAATACTATTAAATTTTTTTTGAGATATATTAATGATATCTCAAATATTATACTATATTATAAAGGATTAAAATTTATTACCAGAGCTTGCATTAATTTTTTTATTAATAAAAATGATTATAATTCCTAAAAAAAATTTATACTTACTCGTTAGTACAGCTAAAATATGTAAATAAATTCTTCAAACTTCTCTTTTTATCTTTTCTTTTCAAAAGGTACGTTCTGAGCTCCTAGTAATAAAAATCCTCAATCTTAAAAGCGCTGTCAGTCTGCCACTATAACACCTTCCATTGAAGGCATCGCTCAGTTGTTTTACTGTATTTTTAGTGTACCAGCAGGTTACCGTCAAGTTTTTAGAGAATTTTTAAAAGTGTAGTTACGGTGGTGGTTATTGTTTTAAAAAATATATTAAAATAATATGAAAATATTAATTTAAAATAAAAAATTAAT